TTTTTTTTTTTTTTTTTTTTTTTTTTTTTTTTTTTTTTTTTTTTTTTTTTTTTTTTTTTTTTTTTTTTTTTGAGTCTGGGTCGTTCGGATCATTGAATTTTTTTGAACCCGCCTAAAAATCTCATCCAACTTGAGAACAAAACAAGTGTACAAATTTCTAATTCAGAACAAAATGAGTGTACAAGCCTATGGATACATAGCTTCAGCAAATTAGAGGTTAGGAGTTATGAACACTATAAGGATGGAAGTAACCAAAGATTGAAAAGAGAAGAAGCAAAAGACAAAAACCATGACAAGAAGGCCATGGCAGCAGATATTTGATATCTCCTGCACAGCTTCGACGGGCAATACGAACTGTCTGAATGAAGAAGTATGTCGACGACACTCGCCGTCGAGCAAGCAGCAGCCAGTGTAAGAAGTGAGAGCACCTGTTGTTCAAATGGTTTGAATACCAAAACTAGAGCATCATGAAACTGAAAGTTTAATGGCATTCAAGAAGAAGTACTTACCCAATCTCCGACGATGATGATCGTGAGGATTCCGGGCTGTCGAAGAGGACATTTTACGAGAACTGAATAGCCATCAACCAATGCTAAGGTGAAGCTCCAGGGTATGACCAAACCCATTACTGTCACAAGGTAGCTGCATTGATGTACAACAATGGAAAGATTAATATCCAAAGCAAAATCATGGAATCCTTAGAAGAGTAGCCTATAAGATAAACAAATAGACGGCCGAGTTCGGATAATCTCGTGGACTATTTTACTTTAAACCAAATGTACGGATCATGCAACAGCCTAAGCCCACCGCTAGCTGATATTGTCCTTTTTGGGCTTTCTGTATCGGAATTTCCCTCAAGGTTTCTAAAACGCGTCTACTGGGGAGAGGTTTCTACACCCTTATAAATAATGTTTTGTTCTCCTCTCCAACTGATGTGGGATCTCACAATCCACCCCCCTTCGGGCCCAACGTCCTCGCTGACACTCGTTCCTATCTCTAATCGATATGGGACCTTCCAATCTACGCCCCTTCAAGGCACAACGTCTTTGCTGGCACACCCCTCAGTGCAGCCCCCTTCAGGACTCAGCCTCCTCGCTAGCACACCCCTCGTGTCCACCCCCCTTCAGGGTTCAGCCTCCTTACTGGCACACTCCTCATATCTACCTCCTTCGAGGCGCAGCCTCCTCACTAGCACACCCCTCATGTCCACCCTCCTTTGGTCTTCGCTGGCACATCGCCCATTTGTAATAGCCCAAGCCCACCACTAGCAAATATTGTCCTCTTTGGACTTTTCCTTTCGAGCTTCCTCTCAAGGTTTTTAAAACACATCAACTAGGGAGAGGTTTCCACACCCTTATAAAGCACAACCAATATGGAATCTCACACATCACCTACATATCTGGAATAACCTATTCCATAAACTTCGATCCGTTTTCTTTCGAGTCAAATCCTAGGACAAAGTTATGAAAATCTTCTGAATGAGCTTGTTTTTGCATATAACTCAAGTTTGAAACAACAGAATTGCAGATAGATCCAAAGGAGGTGTTTGGTGGCAAATCTCAATGAAGTCAGCAAGAGAAGACCACCACAAAAGGGAGAGAAACAAAAGAGCATACTACCATAGATGACATACTAAATATACTCACACCTCAAGGTTCAACACTAAATTTATGCTTCAACCAATAAGTTATGTGCATATTACCTACAAGCGTTATCAAAACTAGTTGCCTTAAACAGAACATTCAAAAGCTTCACAGATCCTAACAAGGATCAAGTAGGTTCTTCACATTCATTCATCTCAAGAACACGAACACAAACCCAAATCCCATCAAGGCTTAATTTCAGAGGTTTTCAAGTCAATTAACTCATCTTCCATGGATCATACAAACCACCAAAAACAGAATAAAAAAAGCAATCCAAAGAAAAGGGGGAAAAGGGAATCACCAGAAAGCAGTGTAGCTGTAGAACTCAATACCCAAAGACATGAAAAGAAGCGAAGCGGAAGAAAACACAGTCTGGCCCAGTCTTAAAGAGAAACTGCCGCCGGTGCCCACCGACCCAGGTACCACGTCCATGGCGGCGCCGGTGAATGCGATTCCTAACTCTACAAATTCCCCATTTCTTCTTCCCCTCAAAACCACTCATCTTAATCGCTCAATGCTCCACCATACCCGCTCACACCCAAATCAACGGACTCTATTTTGATTCTCAATTTTGGTCCCGATGAAGAATCCGGCGAGTTCCCCGGTGAAAAGGGGTTTAGAGGTCGAATCCGGAGATGGGTGTTACAGAAAAGGGCGGGGCGTTGGAATTGAGACTTCCGGGGGCCGTTTCTTGTTTTTGGGTGGCACGTTCTCAGAGCTTCGAGAGCCAAATCAGCCGCAGAAATTTTGGCGTGCCTGCTGCCGTTGAATGTTGCCGTTTCGTATTTATTCTCGAGTAAAAATGTAATTAATATTTTCCCATAAAGGATAATTCTCAATTTCATTCTTCTATCATTTATTTTTTATTATTTTAAATTTAATGCATTAAGAACGATTTTATCGGCTTCTTTCAACATATTTTGTTTTCACGGTAGAAATTCTAAAAAAAAATTCTTAAAAAAAAATTCTTAGAAAGTCATCAAATATATAAATGAAGGTGCACGTTGTTGGTATAGGTAATAACTTTCATTTTGTAAGATCTCATATCGATTGGAGAGATAAATGAAACATTCTTGATAAGAACGTGGAATTTCTTCCTAGCAGTTGCGTTTTAAAACCCTAAGGTGAAACTCGAGAGGGAAAGCACGAAGAGAACAATATCGACTAGCGGTGGGCTTGAGCCATTACAAAGGGTTTTTAAAATACATTAAGATAATATCAAATAAAAAGTAGATTTGGCACGTAAGCAAATCATATTCTTAAATATTATAAAATGGTGAGCTTGATTGACATTTTAAGAACAAAGCATCACCAAATCAAAGTCAAAATGAGTGCTTCATTGACCCATTACAGAATGTTGGACCAATCTTTTGAACTGAAGCTTGTGGATTGCCTTTCTCTAAACAAATGCAAATTTACGACATCTTTACTTTGTTCGTCTTTGCACCATTCTTGTTTCTATAGAGTTCGATTCACCTCTTCCGGGCCCAGCGTCCTTAACTAGGACACACCGCCTCGTGTTTGGCTCTAATACAATTTCTAACGATCTAGATCCACCGTTAGCAAATATTCTATCAAGTAATTTAAGAATCCGGATTACTGATTAGCACAAACTACAGTCCTCCGCTCTACCAACTGAGCTAAGGTCGGTTTTAAAATAAATCAAGAGTAATATGAAATTAATTAGATTTTGAGGGCCATGCTTAAAATAAAAAATAAAAAATTCCAACTTGACAGACTCAAACGACCTAATTAACATAATCAACCCGAAGATAGGGTTATTAATATTTTGTAAAAACTTCATATTTGCATTTTATGAGATTTTAGTTATTAATGTAACTGTCGATAAGTATGATTTTTTAAAATAATTAAAAAAAGAACAACCCGACAACCAAACCCATCCCAATACGAACATAAAGGGTTGAGTTAGGTTGAGTTGTGATCTCTCTTCGGGTTCTTTAGGCCACCAACTCAACCAACTCAAAACTTCGGGTTGGTTCAAGAAAATTTCCAACCCAACCCATATGCACCCCTATTTAGTTTTTGTTGATATTATGAGTCAATATGAAGGAGGTCGTAGGTCGTATTTATTTTAAATTATAAAATAAATATAATTTTGAATTATATATTTTATGTGCATATACTATATTAAACATTTATTGGTATAGTGTGTGAGGGGGAAGAATATAAAAGGAGATAAGCCTATTTTATTAACTAAACGAATTTGTCGGCAGCATTTCATTGATGTACCTTTGCCTCTCAACCATCCATTTAAGAATTAATTAATTCCCATTTATTTTTTTTATTTAAACTTTATATCTATTAGTCGAGGTTGATCAAACCATTTATGATGCGAGAAATTAAATGGAACTCGAGAAACCTCACACATGATCTATGGGCTGACCTTACTTAAGTCGAGATCAAAACTTGCCTACAAATCTTGAGAATAACGACATACTAGGATTAGAGTTGCTAATCAAGAGGGACGAGAGTCTGTTGGCCAAGATCGGACCTAATGAAAGCCTAATTCTCTCTCCAAAACGAATAGAGGGAGCCCTAGGGTTTGATCCACCCACGTAATACGAAAGAGAACCGTAAGTCGATTATAAATAAGTAAGTTTAACTAAGTCATTATTATCTCGCTTAAACTTTCCACCGTTCTACTTTCTCTCTAACTTAACCATCAAAATTAGTTTGGCAACTATCACGGGCTGACTGCATATTCATGTCATGTCAAACCCTTTATTTGCTTTTATGTTATATTGTTTTACTATTGTATTTTCTGTTTGTATGTCTAAGTCTGTTGAACCTGAATAGCCTAAATGTACTATAGGGAGACTGAGTAGTCATCAAACCTCCCCAACTAAGTACTGGAATTTCTGTTGCTCACGTGTTTTCAATGCAATTGAGTTTCACAATCCTTACTTTCAACTTGTTTTCAAACATTTTCTCTCAAAAGTAGCTCAATGCTCGACCATTCATCATAATTGTCCATAAAATCTGATTTTCACACGGCTACCTTGTTCGCCGAAATAGAACCAGCGCTGCACAATCGTTAAGTCCACTGCCTCAGAACTGCGATTGTGAAGGCTAAATTAATAATTAAAAAAAGAGTTTAAAAAATATCTTTAGCGTTAGCTTTGGATGAAAATCATTAATACTCTAAACAACCTTGAACTTTCAACCGTATTTCCAAAATACCCATTAAATTTTAAAAAGTTTCATTAATACCCTTCAAATTTTTAAAAAGTTCAAAAATACATAACTGTGAAATTTTGAAAGCAATATTAACACTTTTAACCTTTGTAAAAACAATTTAAAAGAAAAATTACTGCAAATATATAGAGAAATCGTCTCTCTATTCCTCATAAATTATCTCCAAAACGTTGTAAATTTTTTTATACAAGTTTTAAGGATATTAATTTTACTTTGAAAGCCTAAATATTAGTTTTTTTTTTTTTTAAATAATAATAATTTTGATTACTTTATTTATAATTTAATATTATATATTGCATCTAACGATCCAAGATTATTAGTATAATTTTGAAGAGGACGTGGTTGATACATGAAAGGGTATGTTTAAGTAATAACCTAAAATATTTATAATATATGGATAAGGTTAGGTGTCTTATTTAGTTAATATTTTCAATATGACTCACTTTATAATTGATACAAATGATTCAAGTCGTTCATGAAGAAACATATGAGTGAAGGTATTCTATACCATGAGTTTGTATGAGACTGGATCACGAAATATTTAATCTTTTTTATAAAACGTTAATTAAGAAGATTAATATTATATACGAGTGAGGATATTCTATACCATGAATTTGTATGAATTCTTGTCTACGAGAATTTGTGCTTTGATTTATGTGGGTGAGAATGACTATTATATTCGATTTAATATGTCTACCATTTTAAGAACTTGACAAAATAGAGAATTGAGAATATAATTTTACGAGATAGAATTTACTTATATTCCATATACAGTAAGTAGATAAGCAGCTCCCGTGTTAATTTCGAAACATAAACAATGGGGTCGCACCTTTTCACCGACTCGAGCATGACCAAAGGATCAATGGATTCATTTGCTCTCTCTATTTGGGCCTTATTGGGCCTTTTTCAACTATTTTTTTGGGCTAAGTTGACTTTCGACTCCATTCTAGTTTTTTTCTTTCTTTTCTTTTTTTTAATAAAAACTTCATAAAACATTTATTTATTTTTTAAAAATATTTAATTAATATTTACAAATAAGTTCACGACTTAACCCGACTGTATGAATTAATTTGATTGAGTTGATCAAATTTTTCGGACTTAATTTATTGAATTAGGATAATCTTTTCGTAAATTAATTAGGCACAAAAGCCACTTTTTTTAGGTCAAACTTTGGATTAGTACAGAATTGGGGGCCAGCGTCTTCGTTACCACACTGTCCAGTGTCTGACTCTGATACTAGTTGTAACAACCCAAGTCACGTTAGTAGATATTGTCCACTTTGACCCTGTTACATATCGCCATTAGCCTCACGGTTTTAAAACGTGTCTATTAGGGAGATGTTTCCACACCCTTATAAGGAATAATTCGTTCTCCTCTCCAACCGATGTGGGATCTCACAAGATTACTCTCGTTCAAATATGGTCTCAGTTCATTCATGTACATTCCTTTATTCAAGTGTCACCGTACCTCTTCCACTTTCCTATTTCTTCATCGAGCAAAAGGTACGAAATAAATCAAATTAATTCATCGACCCTATCGTATATGACCAGACACCAAATAGAATTTTCAACCACATTTTTTCAAACCGAACCAATAATTTGTTGCGAAAATCATATTCAACACATGGACTAACACACAACCATAAATTAAAATGAAAGGCTACAACTTTTTGGGTAACCCACCAATCACTTTTGGAAAAATATGATTACCCTTTTACAATAACCACACTTATTTGACTCTTATATACACTCATCATCATCAATAGCCTACAAGAAATTAAGGAAAGTGGGCAATGCTTATCCAAGATTATACCTTTTTTCTCACACTCATACCCCACAAAACATATCAAACCCAATAAATAAACCATTTTTTTCAAATTCCAACCACTTTTGCGACCATTTTTAACGCCAGCTCTCCACTACGAACTATAATAATTCTCAACTATAAGATAAGCGATATCTCTTTTACGTCATATCGTATATATTAAGTGTTAATATCGATAAACATTATCTTATTTGGTACTCGTTTAGTCCTTATTTTTATAATATATTGAAGATTTGAATCTCTAATCTTTTAGTCAGACCCATTTTAAGAACTTTGAGGGGGAAGCCTGAGAGGGAAAGTCCAAAGAGGACAATATCTGCTAACTGTGGATCTGGGCCGTTACAAATTTTAAGAACCTTAAGGGGAAGCCCGAAAGAAAAAGTCCAAAGAGGACAATATATGCTAATGGTGGACTAGGGTCGTGGCTTGAGTTGTTACAGTCTCTCACACTATTGTCATGTCACATTGTCAAGCGCATAGCCACCCTACAAAAATAAGACAAATACTACATGACAATGTCGTCTCTTTAAATGATGAAATATAGCGACGTGTAAACTGAATTTATTTATTTAGAAAACGAACTACGATCACTTGTTTGAGTTCATCTCGAAGGACTAGAACTCGAGCTCGGTAATTAAAGTTAAAATAATTTCGAAAAACTTTAGTAAAAAATAATATTAATATTAAAGAAAAATCATTTTATTTCTTCCTCTACAAATTAGCCAAACACG